CGAAGCATCCTCACAGGAGCACACTTATCAATGGAGACCGACTGATTCAGCCCAATCAACGACGGTATAATACAAGCAATTATACTGACAGTCAAATAGGTTTAACTTCCCATACATTTTTTAATTGAATACAAGGTGGTGTAGCAAATACCATTTCTGTGGTTAACTTATTCAGCCACACTTTCGAAATAACCATTGGCTATACGTTCATCGAAAACTTTGTTGTGTACACATCAAAGAACGGGGTTTATAGCAAACTTCACTCAACTTATAAAAACGAACGTCTCAGTATTTATATACTTTGTCCACCAGCCTAACTGTCTCCGAATCCTCTGAAGTCATGCTTTTGAAGTAATTAAGGCAACCGTGTTTTTGCTAAATGTGGTCCTCAAAACACCCCAAGAAAAGCCTAACCACAGTTATTGATTTCCCCTTTCTGTGAAATAACTAGGGTCACAGGTTAGAGGTGTAAAGCCGCCTCAAAGGAGCACGGATCAACCTCATGAGGACAGTCACGAAAAGCGATTCCCGGAAAAGGCTGAATTCCTATACCATACAACCCTCAGAACCCATTCGTTCTCGTTCAGCATACAGCATGTCTTACTGGCACGCCCACCTCAAACCATAGCCTACTTGTAAAAGCTACGAAAGCCTGACGGTAGAAAACCGATGGAAAGTTCATTACAAAAACTCTTTGGCCATGGTGGTGATTGTCACACATGTGGTCTCATCGCAGCTAAATGAGACGTGGCTTTTCACTGTTACATTTGCAATACTTGAGTACACTGTCAACGTGGTAACGATGTACCAGACTGATATCGTGCCTTCATGGCACACCACCGAAGCACGTGGTTCTGCTCACATTGCCACACAGGGACAATCATATCTACTGGTCCACTTACAGAGGTTGTAAAGAACACCCCATCAGCTATTCGGATGTTGATGCCAACTCGAATCCCTACCACCAGCTAGAGCTTAAAACCGGTTGTCAGCGCCTTACCACGGGCAGATGAACCTGTGGGTATTACAAAAATGGCAGAACGACGACCAGCCGTAAGGCCAATTACATCAATTTCAAATTTTGAAGTCGCTCTAATGGCTACTCTTGTTGTGCATGGCGAAGACAGGTTACAGCGAAAAAGAAGGGGTGACGTCTCCGTAAAAACTCATACACAGTACATGATGACCGGGCTGTCAGTTGCAGGTTGGACCCAATCGGCTTATTTATTGTTCTCGCATGTGATGAGAGCTTTCTTGAGAAAACGGAATCGGCTGACAAACTGGGAGAGAAACAGTATCTCGCACACTAAGACTGGGCAGCCTTGGGGCAGAAATATCCTCCCTCTCCCCTCAAGGAAAGCCATCATCAATGAGGGTGACCCTGTCCTCGGCTAGGGAAGCTGAGATTGCGCTTGCTGTCACATACACTAGTCATCAACCGATCATCAATAATTGGGGCTGAGCCGGAGAGTATGTGGTGGCTGAGAAAAATATACACACGCCGAAACAAACAACCATGGTTATCCATGGTATGTTGTAACTGACACCCTGTACATTGGTTGCAAAGTGTGCTCATGATGTCCAATGATGGCAGTGGTTGTCACCAAGAATGAGATGCTCTCATTAGCAACGGTCTAGCTTACTTCGTTGGAGTTCTTTTAGCCTCTGACTTGATGCCTGAGTACGATGTAGACGCAAGTTCAATTTCAGCTGGGTTGCTCTTCTTGCTGTTGCCTTCATCTTTTTTACATTTGGTCATCTTGCTCAGGGGTTATTGACCAAAGTAACTCGTGTTGCACTGCTCCGAGTCATTTGAATAATAAAAATTTGTTCACTTTACTGTCCGCATGTACAAAGGCACTTGAATGAAAATAAGTGGTTGGTGCTAAAAGAATGGACGAATAAATCTTGAAGACGGACTCCGCCAATTTATAGTGGTAAATTGAATAGGTACTAGTGAGTTGCAATTAATTTACGGGCAATATATATTGCCACGAGAATTCCAGTTAGGTAAGTGGTGAGAACTTTAGAGTTTGCGAAATAAGTCAAACGCCTTCAGCCAACAAAGTAGCAATGGAGGCACCTAGATTGGTGTCAAAATACTAGCAAGTCGTGAAACTTTCGGATATTTTGTTTAAGAAGTCGGTATGTAATAACAGTAACAATAGTTATAATTTATTCCTGCACATACATGTACACACCAGTTTACAGGCATGATTATATATATATATATATATATATATATATATATATATATATATATATATATAAGGCACTCAGAAGTTGGAAAACTTATAAGTTAGTGAGCTGTGAAGATGTAAATATTTGTATTTTTTGGTAGAATGTCAATCGACAATCTTGTTATGCGATCGGTGAGTGTCAGAATATGCGTGGATTTTCGACTACTACTTTATATCGTGGTTTCTTTTGTGCCGTAAAAACCCATAAGAAGCTGATAGGATGTTAAATCGAGAGCCTTGATGTGACATTTCCGCTTTCGGAATGATTGCACGTGTCATACGCTGGTGAAAACTGGGTGCATTTTGACACTGCAGGTGGGAGCGATGTTGGTTTCGAATGCCCTGAATAATCTAATTTATTATCCATTTTGGAGGGTTCGATACACTGACTAAATTAAATTCCTCCTTTTCAGTACTACTGAAACTCACGTATGACAAGGCAATAGTTAATCCATGTTTATTATATTGAACAACTGTATTTCTAGTATTCATTGCGAGGTTAACCCTTGAAGCACTTGTCTGAAGTGCTTCATAGCTAGACGTGCAGAAAGCAATTCAGTCTTAAGCACACGGTATCTGGATTCTGAGGTGTCATGTAGTTCTGAGAAGAACGATGACGGTTGCCCTATGTCTTCTGGAAACCTTTACTGGCCTGTGGTACTAACTGGTAGAAGCACCCTGACGACATGACATATTAACAGTGTCTCACAGCAAAAAGCTTCCCCTGTCTTCTCACATGCAGTAACAGTCGCTGGTGTAATCTACACTTTTCTAAGATGATGTTTCAGTTAACATGCCAACCTTTTGAAAAGCGTTTCCAAGATTTCATTTATTTCAAATATAAGGGTTAACTAGGTTGGGAAATCGTCCGAATTTTTGACATGAAACCGGTAGACGGTAGTCTTTGATCCCCGTTACATCTGTTAGAATTGGCTTTACACCTTTTGTTGAATTATGTAACGAAGGAAGTGGGGAGACCTTCTCACAAAATGATATTTGTCGGAAAGCATAATGATAATTTCCTTGTTCAGAGTCTCCTTAGGCCAAGAAGTAGTTCTAATTGTAGCTATTTTTAAGCATCCACGCCGAAATCGTTCGCATCTTGCGTAGTCAGCCACCATTTAGGTTTCTGTAGATCAATTGGCGTGGGTGGAGTAACATTATCTTCTGCTAGGCTATCCACCAAAAGCTCAACTGCATACATTTAACCGTACGATGAAGCAAACCAGTTTGGCGCTCATGTCTGCAAGTACCATATTCCTCCTTCACTACCTACTGTTTCAATTTTCCGTACGTAACATCTCCCTGAAATTGCACGTTTGCAAACAATTGGAAGCCAAATCTCAGAAATAAGGATTATACCAGCAGTTTTATGAACTTCTGCTGTCATAATCAGCTTTTATGAAGTCTGGAAAACCCATGTTGTGAAAAGCTGTGGCTTTTTACGTTTAATTAAGGCCAAGGTCTGATCGCTTAGAACCTCTACCTTCTGCTTCAGTCTGGTCATTTCACCAGTGTGAGGAGCGCATACTACTCATGATAACACAGATACCTATTTCATTTGGTGAGTGTAAACTACAACTCCATATTTCAGTCATGATCTTCAAAAGCTAGTTTCTATTTTTTATTCTATAACAATCATTTGGGCTTAAGCAGATGAACAATCCACGGTTCGTTTTTGTGGCCACTCAGCAACTAATTCACATACTACTATTATTTTGATGAAGGCCTGTCTCGTAGCTTAACCTTAGTAAAGAGATAGTCTAAGGCTTTCTGGTTTGAAATGGAGGCGACCTTTATGACCCCTTACTTTGATGTATCGAATGACTAATATGGGTCTGGATTATTTAAAGCCAGCCTCACTTTCTCTGCCTTGTCACCTGATAATTGATGAACTGACGTAACTGACTTGAGCATTCTGAGTAGCGGATTTGTCACAAAGGAAAAGTGTTCGAGGTGAGTAAACTGAAGCTAAAGAACAATTACTTTTAATGCAGGCATATTATGAATGCAGTGAGCTGGTTGTATTTCTATCACCAGGCACTTCATTAGACATGCATAAGTTGTTGCGCACTTGAATCAGCATAATCACTTCTTTGCGTGTAAGTGATGAAACCAAAGCACAAGAGGAAATACATTTTAGATAGTGAAAATGCTCACGCAAGCAGTCTGTTTACCAGTGTGAAGTCCAAAATTATTTTGAGAAAAAATGAAGGTTATCTGTTTGAAACTTGTTAAACTATGCACTATGAGAACGCAGCTGTTTGTCGGCATAAAGGATACCCCGAACG